ACAGTATAAATATATTCTTGAAACCATTTTGACAAACTCCTCTGGGACACTATGATAGAATATATAATACTGAAGTACACACAATGTTGTCGTATCCAAATATTGTTTCAAATATTGTAGAAGTGTAGAGCACAGCGAGCACATTTACTAATATAAACTGGAGCATTCTGTGCTGGTAGCTGATGAGATTTAATCCACACACTGCTTTCAATAAATAAAGTATAAAAATAGATATACACACAAAATACACATGCATAAAAACAAACTGTCCGTCAAATTATTTGGTGAGATCACAGCCGAAATTAAATTAAATTTTAATTTTAAGTTGTATATTATTATAATATATCCATTAACGTGAAATGCGAGAATGTTATTTTAAAGAGAAATAAGCAATTTCACTTCAAATGTTTAATCCGACACGTTCTAATATTAGCATAGTTGTACACAGCGAGTGTTAATATAACAAGGAGGAACATGTATTGGCCGCTTTGATATACAAACAACACCATTCGAATGTCTACACAGTCTACACAGTGTGTGTTCTGCTAAAATACAATAAAAAAACAGTTTTTTTTCCAAAGCGTTTCCGTGAAGTTGAATCTGCACTTCAATTGGTTGCCTCAACCTGTATTCGGTGCCCTAAAATTGGTGCGTTATTGACGTTTCGACGTGCACCAGCTGTGTTACGGTAAATATGCAGGTTCGTGGGCACTTCTAAAACTCAAAAAATCTAAAAATATTTAGCGCAATGCTAAACTGTTTGAGCTCTGCCACAAGTAGAACATACTAAAAATATATGCAATTACTGAAGCCTCTGCATAATTTGCTAGGTTGTAGCATGAGGGAATCTCCATATTATATTTCATAAAATCGGTAGTCGGTATACTTTTATGACAGCTGTATTAGAATTCATATAAAATGCGTGCGGATCGACCTTGCCCCGGTTAACGAATGTATTAGACCTGTAAAAATTGTGCATCGTCAAATATTTTAGCAAATTTGTTGAAAACCTGAGACATTTTTGCGTGGCCGTATTTAAAGCGCCTGTAAACTTTGAAAATTACATGGAAATTGTTGAGAAACTGTTGACAAATTCAAGATGGCGTCTGGACATCTCGTGGTTGAAAATACGCACCGCCCGGGCTAAATAAAATGAAAAAAACATCTATCTATATAATCGTGAGATTCTATAGCTGATTAGTTACAATGTAACGAGATTATGGTCAAGAATGCCAGATTCGTTTTTTAAGATTCACGTATACGTATTGTTGGTGCCCGTGATCTTATCCAGGAAGACTATAATTTAAAACCGGATGTGATGACTAAGACCTACAAAGACAGCAAAAAAAAAAGGGAATACTTTGTAGAGGCTAAACCATTTGCCGTACTTTGGTCAATTTAGCAATATTCTATATTTTTTGTATTTTCTGCTTCAAAACTTTTAACTTTACTGAATTACTGAATTAGGGCTCTCTGGCCTAACTGGGATAAAACATGCATGTGGTTGAGTCGCTGGAAAGATCGGAAAAATACGCCATTTAGATTGAAGTGGCCAAAGGAACCAATTGACTTTGTTGGGGTGTATTTTTTGTATAATACAGCCTTGGCAACAGAATTAAAATATGGAAAACCATTGACAAATTTGGCGTACACTTTTAAGTTCAGGAAATATTACTCATTGGGCAATCTAAAATTATTAAATCTCCCAAACAGCATATGCTATTCATTATTTTTACCACCTCGTGTTCTTAACCAATATAAAATTACACAAATCGTGTGACACAGGATAATTTGGACTGATGGGAACTAATATAGCCAATAGAATTATATGCATATATAATTAGAAGCAATATTCACCTCGGTCAATTTTACACATATGCATGAATTATGTGAAATCACAGATTATTAGGTACACAAAATATTGATTGAGATATCAGGGGGAAATTCTTCTCTCTAGGGTTCTCCACACGTGTCAGGGGGAATCTCGTCTCGTCTCTCTATCGCGTTCCCTTGAGGTACGGGATCAGGAAAGTCACTTATACTTTACAGTCAAATAAGACACACACAACGAAATACGTTTCAACTCTCGCCTTAGTCGGTCTGTGGAGCACTCTATAAGACACAGCGCCCTGGGGAAAAATCCCCAAGACTATCGCAAGGCTGACCCAAGACTCGCTCAAGACTCTCCAGGACTGGACTCTTAGACTGCGTCAAGGCTCGCCCCAAGTCTCTCCAGGACTGGACTCTCGACTCTCCAGGACTGGGTCTGTTCTTGTGTGTTCGCGAAGACCAACTAAAACTCTCTTTATTCACTTTCAAAACTCTAACCAATTACAAAGCAGTAAAAAGACTCTAGAGCGTAACCTTCAATCATAAAGCCAATCACACTAAGTACTGAATACGTCATATCTTTTGATTAATCGTTCACTACATTAATAACTACGGATGCTAACTGTCGGAAATCGTAGTCAGAATAGCGACGGTTATCTCGTAATTAGTTCCAAATCACTGAGCCAAGTTCCGTCCAAAACTTCAAATAGGCCTAAATGATGACAGACATAACACAGCAATTCGCTAATAATCAGCTAATTAAGTCGGTCAACAGATACGCGTAAACAAATTCATGACAGAGAGACGAATAGTGAATTTCATGTGTGCATTGAAGCCAGGCAGTATGGCGAACATGAAAGATGAGTTGGCGTCATGTGTGCATTGAAGCCAGGCATTATGGCGAACATGAAAGATGAGTTGGCGTCATGTGTGCATTGAAGCCAGGCAGTATGGCGAACATGAAAGATGAGTTGGCGTCATGTGTGCATTGAAGCCAGGCATTATGGCGAACATGAAAGATGAGTTGGCGTCGCCGCCCGTGTATACACCACTGCTGAAGCATGGTATTGTCATGATTTATTTGTGTCTAGAGATGGGTCACGGATACGACTTGATAGCTGGTTGCCAGTGGATAGCTGGTTTATATCATTCAACACATTCCTATAACCTGTCACCATTTAAGTTTATACAAGGTCCTGGACGAAACTTGACTCAGTGGATGGAACTAATTACGATATAAACGTCGCTTACCCGACTACTAAATCTGACAGTTTGGTATGTGTGGTTTTCCGATATAGCGAACGATTAATCAATAGATATGACGTGTTAAGTACTTCGAGTGATTGGATACATATAGTAGAATGTTTGGTGGCTACGCCTTAAGCTTTTAAACTCCCATGTAATTGGCTAAAGTTGAAGAAGTAAATAAAGCTGGTCTTGGTCTGTCTTGGCGAGCTCACCACGAGGCAGTCACTCTTGAGAGAGTTTTGGGGGACTTTCCCCGAGGCATTTTGTCTTGGAGAGTTCTCGACGGGCGACTAAGTCTGGAACTTGACACATATTCTAGATCTGTGTGTGGCTTTGTTGAGAATGTAACGAACCCTGGTACCTGGCGTGAGGTTTAATAAGAACACGATAATTAACCCATCATCACGAATGAAGGGGCGATCCTCAAGCAAGCAATAGAGGACGTGTTAGCTGCTTGGGACATTGCCTAATGTGTCAAAACCCAAGTCTGTCACAGAGCCAGAAACCAAGGTGGCTGATACTCAGAAAGACAATGAACGGACAGTGGGAGTTTGTTGAAACAGAACGCCTGGTTGCGTCTTTTTCAATGTGAGCACCAGCTGAAGAAAGATCACTTGAAGTTTGAAGCCGAGATGCAGAAACAAGCTCAAGAAGATAGATAGACAGGCAGGAAAGTAAAGAGTCAGTAAAGCTGCTTTGGGTATGGTAGGAAAGAAATTCATTGCAGAGTAACAACCAAAACTGTGAAAAGGTAGGTCATCCGTCACAAGATAGCAAGGCGCCAAAAGTAGAGTACAATGTGTTTGCACACTGGATACAGGATTAATTGAAGGTGCAATAGAGGAAACAGTGTGCCACTGTATAGAAGGTACCAAGTGTAGATGCCTTATCAAATTAGGATCACAGGTGACAACAATTGTTGTAAAGTTTTACAGAAAATGTCTAACACATGTACCACTTAAAAGTGTGGGAAAGTGTAGAAGTTTACAGAGCTGACATTTTACTATTGAGGTGAGTATGGCTTTCCCAATAAATGTGTTTGGTGACGACCATGCATATATTATTCCCATATTTGTAGTGCCAAACACTCCGTGTAATAGACAAGCGTCAGCAAAAGTATGGACTAACTTGCTGGAGTTGTTGCCTAGAGTATTACTGAGGACCAAGAACAAGAAAGGGGTTGGTGGACGTTGTATGAGAATCATTACCACAGCTGGAACTGTGTTACAGAATTGGAAGAACGTGATAAGTTCATTGGGAAACATGTTGAACTGGGTAATATCAAAGCACTGATGACTCAACCTATCACTGTGAAACCAGCCCACATGGTAATACTAATATTGGTAATACTAATATTGAACCTGGCATAGACTGAGTGGTGACAAATATGTAACAGTAGA